ACTAGTTACAGTCCATTTTCACAGAGCTTTTTTGGGTACCATGTCAAGCGCAGCACTCTCTAAGTGTGTCTTACCGCTGCGAGCAGCTTTCTTTGTTTGATTCAACTGAAAACCGAGAGCGTTTCATAAGGATGCGGAAGGGTACCTTTCGCGTTACTATGTGACGCCTAGGGTTGTGACAAATCGTCGGCATGTTACGCGTCGGGAATGATAATGCTGTGTAATTAGGTAACCAATAAACAATTCAGTGAGAGAAAAGTTCTTGTCTTGTGCTATAGAAATTTTTTCATAATTTACAGTGGGTCCACAGATAAACTTTCTTTTTTATAATTACAGGACAGTCTCAGCAATTAGTTACCAGATTTTTTCCTGTAATTTCACATATTTATTCACTACAATTTACCCCCAAAGACTTGGGCTGACAAATCTCTTTCATTTACTGCAGTAGCATTTATTTATTATGAAAAAATTGAGACATACTGTTGAAATTGTTCAATTTTTTTCTTAAATGAAGATATGTGAGGACTAAATGTCTAGTTAAAGAGTAAAGAGTTAAACTTCTTTACAATGACAGAAAGGGGAGTTTCACTCGTCCACCCCACTTGAACTCAAACTGGGGCTGTATGTGGCCCAAATTCTAAAACATGTTTGACATCCCTGCTCTAAATTGTCTAATGAATAAACAGGATAAATAACTTTTTTAAATCTGGTTTTCTGTGTCATTTATTACATTACTCATAAATGCCAATTCAGTTAGTGTATTTATTTATTACATGTTGGACACGGTTAACAAAACAGTGTTTTAGTCCGTCATAATAATAATAAATGCCCAGTCTCTTTCTCAAAGTGAAGAATAAAGATAAAATCAATTCCCTGGTTTTAAGTGCTCCTGATTTAAGCATATTCTCTGTGCAGAGTTGTAACATGCAAACAAGCCGACATAGCTAATGGTAATTTTCATCAGTCGATTATGTCTCAGAGACAGGGTTACTCAGCTGTGTGTGGGGACCAGGCTATATGCAGCCATTCCTCCCAATCAGAGAAAGAAAACAAAAAACAACAGTAGGTGATTTCACTGATTAGTATCTCCACTTTAGATGAAGTTATGCTAATCACTGAAATTACTTGCAGGCATGCACTTTAGACCACGGAGCCAGCAGACAGCCTCTTAGATAATGTTGTTTAATATAATTATCACTTTGTTTGTGCTATTAGGATGTACAATAGCGCTGAGGGGAGAAAAAAAAAACGTAATTAAAGAAGTAACGCTCGTGCATTTCCCCACTGTGCTATAGTCTGGGATTGAAGGCCTACATTTCACTGAGCACGCTCCAGTTCTCCCCGGAGAAGCCTTATGCTCTACGTCAGTACAGCTGATATTCACTCTGTGGAACAAACTGTAAAGGAATTGAAAGTTTATAAAGCTAATTAGTCCACTCTTCAAAATTAACACAGTAATTCACTGTAAAAGTCAGGCAGCAAACCAATTAACGATTTATCATATACACTTTATGAAATAAATGAACCATGGGACAAAGCCCAATGAGACTGACTGTGGAACGAGTTGTTTTCTTATGAGACAAATATTCTCATCTGTTGTAGGGAAAAAAAAAAACTAAAATAGATTTGCGGTCACAGTTGTTACATCACATGAAGTCAGTAAACTGGAGACGAAAATCCAACTGCTGCGAGACACTTAGAAAAGCAAACTAGTCCATCACACACCCAACTAACCACCCAGACAAACAAAAACATGCAGTGTTGAAGAACCTGACAGCTGCAATGCTTCAGTGGCTATTTGTCTTCCTCACACTGTCCAGACTTGTCTACATTTAGATTCCCCCCACCATCGAAACACGAGAGCCTTTAATTCTTGAAAACACAAGCATTACCCCTTTTTGTCAGGTTGTCAGATATTACCTGTTAGTATTGATCCAGCACCATTAACGTTGCTCCAGGATCCAATCACCTGTGGTGTGTAAGTTCAAACTTGACAAGAGCAAATAATGAGATTAACCTGTTCATGTTCATTTTTTGGTGTTTTCTTTAATGAGGTCCTCTGAGCTCTTTTTCAGTCGAATGTCATCCAGTCATCCATGCACACCCCCAATCATTATCACCTTTCAAACATGCTTTGCCACTTAAATAATGTGTCATAAAGTAGGACATTTCAAAACAGGTGAGTTTACAAATGTAATTCAACTCTTTCTGAACTTTTGGCTCATGCTCTTGCCTTTCGTTAATGACTCTTTAATGTTATGGGAGCTTGAGATGCCATAAACATCAAGGAAAAAGATCATAATGATACTCAATAATAATTTGTTTATTAGCAGTAAGAAAGTAAGGAGTAAACTTCACATTGCAAATGTTTCAGTTTGCGTGCTTGATTTAAATATTCTCTGCTTTATAATTTGCCCCTTGAGAAAGATGCTCCTAGAAATCCAACAGAGTCAGTCTGAAAAATCTCTTACATGTAACCTTGCGCTCTTTTTTTTTTAAAATACAGATGATTCTTTTATAACAGTAATTTTCTTTAACGTCAAAACCCAGTTTGCACAAGTGCAATGCATACATAAATCTGGCCCATAGTTTAGTCCCATTTAGATTTTTGCAAAACAATATAGTTCGATTATAAGACACCTTTTTCACAATGTTAGTCACATGTTAGAAAGCCTTTGTGCCAGAAAAGGAAGTAACAATAAATACGAAGCTTTAATGACACCAACAGACCAATGCTGGATTATGTGCCAAGCATTGGTTATTCAGACAATCAACCTGATAACGACCAGTCATTTAGTTTAGGGTGTAACTCAAGCAAACTCTAACCCACACTTAGTCAATTACACCAAACAAGGCTGGCGGTCGCCTGGTGAACCTGTCAGACTGTTGAGTTTGTGCTCATGGAGCATGACAGTGTTTCAACACACCAATTACAGTGAGACAGTGGTACAGCTGTGCGGCGGCTTGGCACTCAGCCACACTATAAGCACCACTATCGATTGTCAGAGAGACACAGAGTAGGCATGAGAAGGGGACAGTCATGCACTGCAAGAGAGCGAGATGCAGAATGAAACCGAAAAGACGGAGAGTCACTCGCTTCCGAAACCTTTTCCCTGTTCTTTGTTGGCGTAATGATGCACGGCCGTGGCATTAAAGCTCTGACTTGTTTATTGCGTGCACTTCCTTATTTGAATGTATGTGTACAAACAGAGCTACAGTACAGAGGAAACTGATATGAGAAGTGGCAGGCCTCCCTCATTCTCACTTTTTACTTCTGTCTGTATGTTCTCTCTTCTGATCCTCCTAATTATCACAGTTTGACAGTGCAGGAGAGGAAGAAATACTGAGGGCAGAGAGAAACAGAGAGGAAAACTATCACGTTTGCAAAAATGAAATAAAACAGAGAGACAGGCAGAAAACCGAGATAGAGGAACGGTTTCTAAAGCAGCTTATCCAGCCTATTCTATGTTAATGAGGGTATGAGTTATTAACTTAATGGAGACTCGTTTTAGTCTAAAACAGGTACTAAAAAGGCCCAACCCGTTGCAGCAGACAAAGGAGCTGTCATGGCTGTGGCACACTTTAGAATACGTTCAACTTATAGCCGAATATAATTTGAATAATTTTAAATTTTAAAAGCACCGTGTCACATATCCATACACAGACAAAAAAAGTACAAAGCCTAGGATGTAATTGCTGCATATGTTAATACTTACCTGGACATGTAAACTAATGCAGAGATACACAATTTTTTTCTTTTTAGTCAAATAAAAGAACATTGTTATTATTTATGATCAAAATTTTTTTATTTATGGTTGGAAAAAAGAAAGGCTCGATGTACTTTAATCTAACAACACCCTTAAATATGATGGTTTAACTCATTTTACTTAATTTTCTAAGACAGCGGTCCCTAACCTTTTTTGTGCCACGGTCTGGTTTAATGACAGACAATATTTTCACGGACTGGCTTTTAAGGTGTGGCGGATAAATACAACAAAATAAAATGATACGACCAAGGCAAAAACTGTGGTATTTTGTAAATATAAAAATAAACACGAATTCACTGTGTAATTGCGTAACTTTATTAGCAGCGTCCTCCTGAAATGCGCCAACAACATTGAGAGTAACGGTCTTCTCTCTGCTCTCTGGTTTGCTATGGTAACACGTAAATATTTCTTTCAAAATAAGACAACACGGGAAAAGACTCAGGGAAACCAAGTTAACGATAAAAACCCTGAAAACCATAAAGTCTCAACTCTCGCGGCCTGGTACCAAATGACTCACGAACCGGTACCGGTCCGTGGCCCGGGGGTTGGGACCTCTGTTCTAAGACATACACAAAAAGTTCTTTTGTGGGGTTTTTTGCTTGTGTTAGGAGTTTTTTTGATCACTAGCAGACCTAATCAGCTCTAGCTAGGTCATTCTACCGCTGAAATGACAGAAAAATATTCATAAACTCTTTCCTCTTGTTGCTTGGGTTTGAAAATGTGATAAAAAGACACAAACCCTATTAAAAATATTACATTTACTAGAACTCTATGGAAATAACAATAAGAATGTTGACAAATGCAAAAAGAATGGATGAATCTGCTAGGTAGGACAGGATTAACACACTTTTGAAGAGTTAATGGTGGACAGCTGCATTCATTTAAATCCATTTCCTTATCTCCAAATATTCTTTACCAGTACTGACCAGCTATCACTGGACAGAGCCTTACTGTTCTCGTGGTGCGAAGTTGCAGGTTAAGCATAGGTGAATGCAGCCACCTGTACGCAGGCCCACTCAATGCACAGGCATTAGGTTTTTCCTTTGGAGGCTGCCTGATGTTCCCCTCATAATTATGGCAAATTTAGTCGGCTCTAAACTGCTACAGTTGTATCTACAGTACCAGCAGGTCATGACTGCCTTTTAAAGCAATAAACCCCGAGTATGTCTACTACATGCAGGCACTTGAGTTTGAAATTACAGTGCATTGTACTTATTCATCTCAAGTACTTACAGCCAGGAGTATCTGCAGCGAGGAATGAGCCACCTCTATGAACTGAAAATCCATCAGACAGCCAGATATAGATATATATCGGTGGTCCTCGGGTGCCCAGGAGGGAGGAGGGGTGATGGGCGTCACCCTGCATCCTGGGCCATTCTCCATCCACCAGGAGCGGTGCATGGACAGGTTAAATGTCAGGACAAGGTCAGAGTCCTGGCAAACAGAGAGAGACAGACAGAAAGAGGTTGATTACATCCTCAGACAGAACACAAACAAGGAGCAAAGCAGAGGCCGTCTGAATATGTCGCACCCTGAGAGCTAGACAGAAATGTAAGGAGAGAGGTTTGATCTAAGATTTAGATTTAAACTCACCAGCAACTTTATTAGGTATACCTGTTCAGCTGCTCATTGATGCATATGTCTATTTAGACACATGGCAGCACCTCAGTGCATTTAGGCATGTAGGCATGGTAAAGACGACCTGCTGAAGTTTAAACTGAGTGTCAGAGTAGGGTAGAAAGGTGATTTTAAGGGAATTTGAGCGTGGCATGGTTGCAAATGCCAGACGGGCAGACAGTCAGAGTAGTTCAGAAGCTGCTGATCTGCTGGGATTTTCCCACACAGCCATCTTTTAGAGATGAGAAAAGGGCAAATTTGGCATAAACAACATGAAAGCGTGGAACCATCCTGCTTCGTAGTGGAAATATTTTCTTCCTGTGCACGAGCTGAGCATCATTTAAACTGGTTTCTTGAACATGACAATGAGTTCAGTGTAATCAAATGATCTCCACAGCCACCAGATCTCAATCTAATAGAGCACCTTTGAGATGTGGTGGAGTGGGAGATTTGCATGATGGATATGTAGCCGGCAAATCTGCAGCAACTGTGTGATGCTATCAAGTAAACATGGATCAAAATCTCAGAGCCATGTTTCTAGCAACTTGTTGTGCCACGAAGAGTTAAGGTAGTCCAATCTGGTGCTAGCAAGGCGTACCTAATAAAAAGTCATACCAGTGATTCTGGGCCTGGATGTGAATTGTGCACATGCAGCTACTGTCATCATTATCACTATGACAATGATGACTTGGAAACTTAACCAGAATCAGAATCAACCTATCAGTAATTAGCATCTGTGATTTTTGCCTTGCTAATCATGGGACGAAGGAATAAATATTCACTAATACTCACTAAAACACATTAAAAGCCCCCCCCCCATTTTTTTATGATCTGAAACTTAAGGTTAGGTTTATGGTAGGGTCACTAGAGCGTTAACTTTACTGTGGGGGTTTATAGCTGCACTGCCAACGTGGCTCCATAAATGTCAGCAACATCATTCACTATACCGCTCTGACCCAGATTTAATTATCTTTTCACATACTGCCATGTATTTCCATAAAACTGCAGAAACTCATTTGAGTGGAAGAGCCCTAATGACTGGCGATTCCTTAACTTTTCTTCTAGCATCAGCAGCAGGTTTCTACATCTCCGGATGACTTTCGCTCGCAGACCTTTACTGCGCTGCCACTTTGATTTAAAACTTTCCAGCTCTAACTGCACCACTGTTGTGTCGTACTTTGTGTTTAGAGTTAAACGGCAACTTACTGTAATGCTAATTTGCAAGAAGAGAACACGGTAAGCGTGCTAGCAGCTGACGTCAGCATTTTACCTACATAACTGCACAACATCACAAAGCCACTAGCTACAGTCTGATAGCGTGTACTCATATGAGGCAGGATTGCCTTATATCGTACAGATTTGTTAATTACCTAAAACAGAGAAAGCAGCTGTCACACTTTATGTCCAAATAAGCATGAATAGTCCCCTCACTGATGGAACAAACTCTAAACTTTTACATTTTCTGTGGTAAGCCATTTCAGTTCAGCAACGCTGAAATGGGCCCAGTGTGGAGCATCTGTAGAGGCTCCTCGTCATTACATTTTCTAAAAGCCTCAAAGACGCACAATGAATCAGCTATGATTGTCGTCTCGGATTAAACAATGCACATATTAACGACTCCATTTAGCAAGAGGAGGCATAGATCATTAAACAGACAACCATGCGAACCACACGGGCGTCTGTCCATGTGTTACTTCGCCATTAGCCGAATGAGAGGCCCTAATGCTCTTTAAAAGCACCATAAATCTTTATACTAAGATATAGAAAGACAAAAAAAAACATCATAAAACCGATTTTCTTGTGTGTGCCACTCAGATTTAGAAAAAAAAATCTATTAGTTTTTGTTGCAAGAAAGTGTGCCTATTGTGGTTTGATGTTACCCAAGAAGAAGATGAAACAAAGTCTACATAGCATCCTCACAACAGTCCCATAAGTACACTGTCTGCATTTAAAGTCACTTCTATTGAAGCACATAAATCCTTAAAGAGAGCTTTAAATAGAAACCCTGTTCTTACATTACCTGTTTCTACTCCATATATCCCACCTTATCTTGTCCTTGCCTGTCCCTCTTAACCTCCCACCACATCCGCACTTGGCTCTGTCACCTCTTTCTGTACCGTTACTTAATTTTTTCCTGCTCTCTCTTTTTCTCTCTCCATTCATTTATATTGTGATCTCACCCCCCTTCCCCCCTTTTCTCCCCTTCTTATTCTTCTTCTTTCCGTGGCCTCTCTCTATTTCAGCATAATGAGTAAATGCCTCATTAGCGCAGAGCTCTGATTAATGCCATCTCCCCTTGTTGTGCTCCTCTTTTTAATGAGTAAAATCTCTCTAATTTTCTCTCTTGCTCCCTCTCTGCCATCACTCTCCCCGTGCCTGTCACTGCGTCGCCGCAGCTTTCTCTCTGTCTTCTTCTTTTTCACTATATTTCTTCATTCTTCGCACCTCCTCCCTCCCCCCCGTTTCCGTCAATGCTCCTCTCACTCTATACACCTGCTGAAATGCTGGGGAAACAGGTAATAATGATTCCAGCACAGCATCATCCATCAGTACTTTCATAACAGGCATTTTCAAATCACAAGTAATTCTCGTTAAAAGGCTGAATTTGGCAAAATGTTATGAAGACCCGAGAGAATGCGATGCCAACTCTTCTCATTCTGTGAAGGAAGCATTTATGGACATGACAAGAATAATGCGTTAAGATGCTTGGCTAAATTAGTTTGGCTAAATCGCTAACCACTCGGGGAATGAGCAAACAGAAGGAGCTGTGGTGTTTAATTTTAGATAAGGGAAATACATTTTACAAAAAGTAGTTTGGAAAAAGCTTTACTTTTTTTAGCTTTGATTATAAAATATATGAAATATTTCCTTTAGAAAACTGACGTTGAGAAAGAAAATGAGTCATGTCTAATTCTAAATGGCATCCTCTCAGACATCGATTTTAGCCGTTAATCTTGCTTGTTATATTCAACAAGGAATATTTAGACACTTTAAGAAAAGTTTTATTTTATTTTATTGTTTTGGACCTTGTGAGAATCTGATGAGAAAATTGATACCATTCCTATATCTGTATGTTAAATATGAGTCTGCAGCAAGGGTGTGGTTAAGGGGGTCCAGGGGCCTGGGGGGTACTGCCCCTGGCCATCAAAATTTCAATGTCCCCCCTGCTGCCTCCCCAAAAAAGAGGTCAGCAGTGAGGTTCTGGAAGTAAAAAATCCCATTAATATTCTCCAAAAGGGCTTTTAATTATGAGCCACATAATTATGTCGACCATCAAAACCATATTTACTATAAGCTATCACGTTATGAATTGATAGTATGCGTGTGACATCAATCATTTTATTCACAGTGCTACAGAAAACAACTACTCTACCTAATCCTGAAATAAAACAGTGACCTCTCTAATTGGTTATGTTGGCTGGTCGCTTTTGTGAAACTCCAGAAACCGCCCGAGCGGTGACTCTAGTCAGGCTCGAAGTGCAATACCACATCCATAACTGAGCTATATTTTAGTACACATAAGGGGCACTGCGTTACTGTACACACACAAACACAAAAAAAAAAAATCCAAAGATATTACAACACAGTATTATCATTAACCATAAAAAACACTGATGATAAAAAGGATTCAATCAGAGAAGGGTGGAAGTCGTTCGCTTTGGACTCTGTTTGCGATTCATTATGTGACGAACAGTTCTTTCACCAATAAAAGTAACTACAAATGCTGTCTTGTACTTTTTGTTTTTAAAAAATTTCCATTATTTTATTTGACTTTTTTCCCCCAAATCAAATATTTTTCTACTCATGATTCACCCCACAGCTGGTTAGCTTGGTTCAAGGCTACAAACTCTTCATATAAAAGATTTTCTGAAACGTCAGTAGAAAAAAAATGAATGAATAATTCTTTAACTAGTGGACGTCAATTTGAGCTCTACTGTACTGTAATATTAATGCAATCATGGGTGGAAATGAGAGGGAGGGGGTCTAGCTCTCCTTATACCTCATTGTAAAGTCCATTACTCCATTACATTTTTTTAGTGTATGCTGGTTCTTGTACTGGTTCCTGTAGCCAGAAGAAGGTTAACTAGCTTAGCAATGAGCAACAGCTAGCCTAGCTAGTCTGAGCTAAGAAAACCCACCTTACAAAATCTCTAAGTTAATAAATGTTAACAGGAAATATGTATTAGTGAGCTTTAAGTTTTGATATGTATTTTAATATTTCTTTAGAAGGAACCAAGATAACTGTTTTCCCTCAGTTTTACGCGTACATGCTAACCTAAGCTAATCACCTAAAAAAAATCAACTATACTAAAGCAGAGCCATTATGAAATTATGTGGTAATACTCCTCCAAAATAAACAAACAAATAAACAAAAAAGAGACTTTTCTGTTTTCTCTTTTTTCTATTGAGCCCTGTTTCAGGATTTTGTGCATGTGTATCACAAAGGTTACAGCATTTCTAATATAGCTCGGCCCCAGACTGGGACTAATAATAAAAAGCGTATTATCCCCTTTGTATTCATCCAGCTGCAGTGAGCTCTCTCAACAAGGCTCCACCACCACAGGAAGAGAAAATGTGACACATTAGAGATTAAGCTCATTTTTCCAAACCCATAAATAATGCAGATATTAAGAGTTGTAGAGTTCACAACCTGTTCAACACACTGGGAGGCGAAAAAGAAAAAAAAAAGATTACTCCATGTTCACCAGTAGAACACAAAACAATTAAATTGCAGCCTGCACTGGCATTGATGTATTGAACTTGAGGAATGTATTTATCAGTGCACTATTTAACCCAGTAAAAAGATGAAGCTGCAG